GTGCATGCACGCAAGCACTAGCTTGCCATTCAGCAGGAACTGCTTTTCATTTCAAGGTGATGAATTTATCACTCCCATGCCCTCTATAGACTTATATTCAACTCTACACTGGGCTCGTATATTGTCGAACTACTTACAGGTATTCAAGAATGGACTCGGATGGAGAGCCAAGGATACATTTATAGAAAAGAAAAGGGACCAAGGAACTACAAGTCACGCCATGATGAATCATGTCCACTACCTCCACCAGTTACTAAACAATCTGCTCCTGTGATAACATTGCACGACACTGACCGACGGCATTGACGTTCTACAACTAGCTGGCTATCAGCTCTAGCACGTCTTGAATGCGCACTCCAACAGCCTTCCAACTAACTTGGAAGGTTCTAAGTAACGTTAGAATAACGCATGAGCTGATTGTTTAGTAAGTGGTGGTGTTAAAAGTTTAAACAGTTATTATAGTTGTACTTGTAGTGGACATCATAGCGTGACTTGTAGTTCCTTGGTCCTTTTCCAGGTATTCCTTCATTATAAGCAGGGAGCCGTATTTTACTACTCCCTGCTTGTAACGCTTACCGGTGTAAGTTTATCGGCGTATTGTGCACTTCACACTCACTTCTTCCCAGGCCCTAGCGGAGAGTAGACACAGGAAGGAAAGAGTCGCCGACTTCCTAGCTCGGGAAAAGCCACGTCGCTAGCTTATTTTTTATTCATTTCCGATAGCTACACTTCCAGATGGGGTGTGTAGAGTGTAGAGAGCAGAGTTTGTAGTGAAAGCGGCCTTACCTCTACGAGTCGTAGAAATAGTCGAGTACAGCCGTAGTCTGTTTTCTAATCTGCCAGGTATCGACTGCCCGGAGTCGCAAACCGTTCGACCTTGACTTGGCTTTTAAGTGAGACGGAGCTGCAGCAAACCAAGCGACAACAGCCCTGCACTTTGTTCCGGCCTTGTACAATTGTGTGCGTGTTGACGAAAACTCGGCTTGGCAGACGCCGGAACCTCGCCGCCACCACAATGCTGCCACGCTAGTAATACTAATAGTAATAGCGGGTGGAGTCTACGTCGTGAGGTTGACGCTGCTGTAGATTTACACTTTTACAGTCATGTAGAATCTACACGTACTGTAGCTACAACGGTATGCAGTAAAGCCAACGGATACACCTTGCAAAGACTTAGGAGTTAGGTACTAGGTATTCCAAACGGGGCCACCGAAGCAACCGGACCCAAAAAAAGTGTCGAATGCTTTGGAGTTGGACTGGAGTTCACAATGGTTCAAGGTAAGGATCTCGAGACTAGAATGCTACTGCACTGCTTGCTACATGAGTCCCAATCCGAATCGGTTGTCCGCAAACACGCGCCCAGGTACAGATGTCCAGGCATTCATAATGATCAGTCTGCTGGGTGCTGTAGCGCGAATAGCGTGTCATGTCGTGAACTGAGAGTAGTAAAAATATTGTTATACAGGGCTTGAACACAAGTCAAATGGCCCTCTCCCCCTGCCACACATTCTTCAGTAGCCAAACTAAGGGTGCGTTCTTAAATCCTCTCGGAAAAGTTGGAGACTCTCCGAAAAGTTCGAGAGCTGTTCTTCCTCTCCAACTTTTAGGAGGCTCTCCAAGCTCTCCAAGCTTCAGAGGTGTGGTTGAAACTTGGAGATTCCCACGGTTTGGGATCAGCGCATGCAAACTACGGCTAAAAGCCACGTGTTCATCATGAGTGTACGCATTTCCCTTTTCGCATACGCACACGTGCATACTACATTCATCACTCAAGATCGCGGCCACTTTGGCGTTTCATATTGCTTGACATGTGCAAAAATATCTCCGAATTCTTCGAGACCCGTTCTTGAATTATACCAGTTTCTTTGACTTCTCTTTTCTTCTTTCTCCAAGAAGCTAGAGAATAATTATAAGAACGCACCCTAAGTATTAGAACTATGGTGGAAAATACATGTATTTGATGGGAGATAATAAAGAAAATTTTGCCACTAGCGTTGTTCACACTTCATTCGGTACTTGATTTTTGGTATTTTGTCATTGTATTCTCTTTAGCATTTGCCGGAGTCCTTGCCTTGCTAAGAAGGACTTGTCATTTTTGCAGTGTTTCGGTGTCATTTATCACTTCTCTAAAATATTCTTTTTGATTGTCAAAATCTGTCCATTACTACGAGTACAGCATAGCCTCCTGAGGAGTGTTATGCAAAAGCTAGTTCAAGGCATCTGTTTTCCAAAAAAATCATCTTCAAGGTGTGACTTCTCACAAAAGTGTTCACAAAATATAGGTACGAGAGAGCGTGGCACGTGTACGTGTGTATCAGCAACAAAAACGTGAGACTCACTCCATTCTCACTTTTGTTTTGCTGCTGAGCAGGGAGTCGTAAAATTTTACGACTCCCTGCTGCTGATACAAACATGCCACACTCTCCCATCGTGACACTTGTTTTGTGCACACTTTTGTGAGAAATCACACCTTGATGTTTTAGTGCTGTCATCGTATCCTGCTTACCCTACCTTGATTGCTATACAGTCGTCCCTCTCTAATCCGGCACTTGTTTATCCGGAACCCTTGCCAACCGGCGCACTTTCTGACGAAACCGATTTTTTTCGTTCAATTCCTACATGTACATCTTAATCCGGCACTTGAATTCCGCCTCCGGCAGTGACTTTTTGAAACGAATCGCTCAAACTGCACGTAGTTTGATTTCATAATCCGGCAGTCGTAAATCGACTGTGCGTGTGTGTGCAAGAGTACGTATACATCATGTGAACATGTTCTCTGTTTTACTTTATCACTTTATCACTGTGTATATTCCTGGAGAAAAGTTGAGAATATAAAGCCGTGCACCAAATACTGGGGTCGACACGGAAAAACCCTGCGTTTTGACATATGATACATGCATGCAATTGGGTAGGGCCGGGTCAGAGGGCAGGATTTCTTAATCCAGCACCCTCGTTAATCCAGCAGAAAATGCCGTAGCAAAAGGTGCCGGATTAGAGAGGGACGACTGTATTATACTATTTCCTTTATTATCTCCCGTTACATACATTGTTTGAATGAGGAACTGACAGCCCTCTGACTCCTTTGGAACACTTCATGTCTCAATTGATCCAACCCGTCCCGTCTCAGTGTTTTTAGTGCACTTTTGAAGTTCGTTCAACGTTCGTATGTAGTCCATCGTCCAACACGAAAAAGCAACTGCTGGCCCAGGACCTGCGTCGCAATAAAATTCAAATGTGCTCTCTGCAGGAAACAAATGTGTTCCGCAACACGACTGGGAGCTCTTTTTTTATAAAATATCCTCAGCCTTTGTTCTGTCCTACGATCCTGTATACATATGCATGCATTGTTTCGTCACGTCTTCACGGAGCAGCTTATGCGAAGGCTGGCCAAGCTTGCTTGGCGATGCCAACGCAGACAAGCCTATAATATAAATAAATCAAAATTTCACCAGTTGTAGTCTTCGGGGTGCTGAGTCGAATGGTCTTGGTCCGAGGAAGCTGAGACGCTCCATTCCTTCTTTATTCCCAATCGAACTCGCGCACTTCCACCGAAACTGGGTGACTGCGCCCTACTATATGGGGACTTGTATGCAAAATCTCACTAAAAGCGCCATGCCGTTCTTAAAAGCACGGATGACCGCGATTGGCCCATATGTTGTAGTCTTTTGGACACTGAGTCGACTGGTTTTGGTCCGAAAAGGCTGCGATGTAGCGTTCGGCCCTTATTCCCAATCGAACATGGCTGGACAAGCGGTCACGTGCTCGTGCGTACATCAGTCACCTGGTCACCGTGCCTGCTAGCCTAGCCCAAATTTGCTCGGGGCCCTTCGATATTTTGCCGGCAAATTTTGCCCGATCACTTTCCATCTTTTGCTCGGCATTGACCTTCGTTTCCGATATTTTGCTCCATTTTGCTCCTGCTTTGTGGCAAAAATGGCTTCGAATGAACCGTCTACTTTGGTAAAAGTGGATGGTCACTCTGATGAGGAAAGCAAAACTTATAATGGTGTTAGATTTACTGCCGTCGGATTTTGTAGCATGATTTCAAATGTATGTACCCCTGACAACCTGCACGAGCTATTTCAGCACGATGTTGGCCCAATGAAACCAAAGAAATTTAAATAAAATTGCCAAACACACACCCGGATCCTCTGTAAATTCGATAATATTATTCTGCTCGGAATTTGCCAGCAATTTCTTTTCGTGGGAAATTTCGATATTTTGCTGGAAGCATTGCCGGCAAATTTGGGCTAGGCCTAGTGCCTGCAGACTGCAACTTATAGCATGTTTGGGCGAGTTTCTGTCGCTCGAGTTGAACCTTGGTGTGAAAGTGTCTGCCTACTGGCGTGGTGACCAGGTGACTGGTGTACGCAGGAGCACGTGACCGCTTGTTCAACCATGTTCGTGAAACTCGGAGTTACAAAACCGCAACTGCTGGTTCTGCTGTCTGTGTAAATAAGAACATAGAAGAAATCACATGGAAACGAGTTATGAAGCAACTATCCACCACTGGAACAACGATGATACTGTAAAAGCTTTAGATATAACGAAGTGCTAATTCTAACGAATTAACGAGGAGACATCTGTCTTAAAATAGAAAACTGACCCTGTTATCGCACTTTCTGACTGCTTATTCCCGTATTTCCCCGTAAGTTAGTTTCCCCCTATAAAAAATACACTTTCCACTGCCGAGGTTATCACCCCGAAAGACAGTTCCCCCCGAAAGATAGAAAATACGGTATCTTGTTACAGTGACCAGTTCCGCACCATTCGTTCTTGGCATTACTAGTAATAAAGATTCGTTCCTATGTCGATTCAGCTAGTTTCCTCTCCTTCATTGTTCTCAACTGTAGTAGTGAAATGAAGATGTGATTTACTGTAAACCACCCAGGATTCACGTTGCTAAATTTGCGCGATTTCTCGGAACTGGCGAGGTTACGATGGCAAATGGTCGCGGAGCACTGTGGCCACACACACACAGTGTATAGAGTGGGGATGTATACAGATATGTATGTACTTCAGTTTATTTCACTGCTAAACAGCTCGTCGCATTGCAGAAAAATGAACGGGTACATGATTGTAGTATTTTAATATTTAAAACATGAAAATGAACTTACAACTTACAAGGGTTTTTGTTCCAGATCAAGTCATGCAATAATATAAGCCAGGTTTCTGGAAGAACGAGGCATCGACTTTACACAAAGTAATGAATGTAATGAATGTTGAGCATTGACCCAAAGTCCAAGGATGGAGGACTCGCGGAATACAACAACAACAAGAACAACAAGAACGATGGGCAAGGTGGAGCGAAGAAGGGCAGATGGGGAATCCAAAGGACGCAGCAGGACAGACGCATGATGGACAAGATGAAAAGAAGCAGGGCAGATTTGCGTGCAGCAAGAAACATGCGGTCAAGAAAAAAAAGAAAGATATGTACAGATAAAATTCCATATTATACATTGTGTATGTGCACAGCATAAAAAATGTTGTTTGAAAATATGGATCCAGTTGGGTATTAAGGTCTATGTAGTATGGTCACAGGCATGTTCACAAGCAGATGACGACACCCTACCGGCCCTTCTTCAGCGTTTCTTGGTGTGCTGCGAGGACGAAAAGAACACCGCCAAAGACAAGTCAAATAAACCCAGTCAGACAAACCCAGTCAGACGGCCACAATCCCTTGGCTGACGGACGCTATTGGTAAATACTTGAGAGGCATGGTAGAGAAATTTAAAATCTGACGCCTTTTCTGCTATGGCGCATCAGAAGAGGAGTAAAAATGTCCCCGGGCACAAAACTTCAAGATAAAAGTTCAAATATCACACCACCATGTCGTCACAAGAACCAGCCTGTGCTGATTTGGTGGTGCACTTCTCACATGCCAGATTGCCTACTTCCTGTGGCCTGAGCAGGTCCAGACGGTTCATTATTTGTGTCAACTTATCCAATCTGCGTATGAGCTGCAAGAATTCGAAATGGCCTCTGGAGGAGAAGAATTGGTACACCGAGCATGAGAATACATCCAGGCTTCTTTAGAAGACAGGATGGTATGTAAAACAGGTGTGCCTCAAGTAAATGTTGTCCGGAAAGGACAGCAACAGCAATGAGCAAAAGAACAGCATTCTCCACCGTAACGGGGCTGAGATGTAATGGGTATGTCGCCAAAACTCACATTTGTAGAATGTTGTCTGGATTTGTACATCTGGCACGAGGTCCCGGATTTTGTCAATCACCTGGCAAACCAAACAGAAAGATCATTCTATAAGAATGGATGCGACAAGATGCAGACAGCGTAGTGGTGAACTTGCTGAGGGAGAGGTCTAAGAAAGGTTACGATTAATACAGTTGTATTCCTACAGTAATGCATATCGGCGATAGTACGGGGCGTCCCGCTCTAATCCAGCCAGTACTCGCTCCAAACCAGCATAATGTACAGCCACAAAATGTCCCATTCATGGACACTACAACAGTAGATCAGATTTGTTAACTCAGCATCCTCTGTACAATGTTCAATGTTTTTTCTTTCTTTCTTGGGCATACTAGTAGTGTGAAAGAGACACTGGGCACAAATGTGAAAGAGAGAGAGAGAGAGAGAGAGAGAGAGAGAGAGAGAGAGAGAGACAGAGAGAGAGAGACAGAGAGAGAGAGAGACAGAGAGAGAGAGAGACACAGACAGAGAGACGCAGACACAGACCGAGAGAGTGAGTAAGCGAGAAAGAGCTGGAAAGGAAAGTAGACACTAATTATGGTGGTAGTAAATGAAATTCAGCCCTGGCCTTTTGCAGTTCAGTACGAGCATAGACTTGCTAGGTGTGTGCTCGCCATGCAGTCAATGCTAAGCCTAAACAAGACGAAGCAAGGGACTAGATAACATTTCTCACATTGCATATTACATGCACACGTAGTTCAACATTTACCTTGCCCTGTGGTGCCAGTTCAGATTTGAGATTCCAAACTTGAAGAATGTCATCAGCCTGCCGTGTGCTGATGCTAACTCCGCAGATTTGATCATCTAAGCAAGAATTTAGAAAGATGGCGACACAGAGAGAGAATATGCACAATTAAAACACTTGCTCACATGCATGTGACAATGGGTATATAGGCACACAGTCCATTCACTGGTATTCGGCACCCCACCGGTGTTATTTACATCTTAGTACAAGTGCTAAGTACAAGCAGATGTGATGAAATAGTGTAGTGTATAGTTGTGTTCTTTACGCAGGCCCCATTGGACGGTGCTAGTTTTCAGCTGTAGCAGTATGGAACGGGTTGGTAAGTCGGCTGGATCATTTTAAAAGCAGAAAAACGGATGTCAGACGCAGTTGGACATTTGGCAGGCTAATAGCAATCGTGGAGGGTGAAGCCCCGGATGACAACTAACAGTCATAGCTGAGACCACAAGCAGCGCAACACAGGTTGACAACAGCAACTTTCCAGTACAGTAAAAGCCAAATAATTCGGACAAGCCACTCTGGGTTCAGCGGCCAGGCCACGTGATCCAGCATTCAGCACCCAGCACCCAGCAATCCTACTCAGATTGATCAAGACACCGACTCCTAGTGAGTTTGTCAGACTTCTTATGGTGATTTCTGTACAGTCATACTACATAGCATTGCACAGTGATTTGCACAGTGGCTACGTCAGCAGCAGATGTGGCAGTAACATGCATACGGCAGTAGAACTAGTTTCAGCACTCCAGACACGCTCATGATGCTGAACACCAAAGAGCTGCACATACACACACACACACACACAGACCTTTGTTGGCTACTGGCTTGGAAGCAATATGAGCCTCTCTCTCTCTGTCTCTCTCTGCTCTCGTACTGACTGACCTTTATGGATATAGCCCGAAAACTGCTCTCCGATGACGGCCAGCAGCAGCTCCTTCCACACACGCTCCTGCAAGCAAGGTACAAAAATCCAAGTCAAGCAAGGACAATGGTATTCTGGTCAAAGTTGACCAGGGACACAGTCCACCTTCCACATCCGCTCAAATTCTACTTGCAAACAGCCAGTAGATCACACCAACTCCATTACCATTCTACACATAGTGCACACCTTTGAAGTACTGTAAAATGCATGCACATATGCAGTGCTGCCAAATAATTTTCGCCCAAAATCGGACACCCTTCACCGCCAAGGCTGGCCACATGGTGCGAATTTTTCTCCTCGGCAAGTTTTTTACAGAGAATTCAAAATATCGCCTAAAACACCATGAAAATTCGCTTTGTTGCCATGGTAACCCCGGAGTTGTCATGAATTTTGTAATGTCATCTCGAATGCAGATTTATATGCTGTTACTGGCCAGTGCTCTGTATCTGAAATGGCCAAGCGGGACAGGTGGAAGCTATTAGGACATAATTATATTACGCCAGCCAAGTGACATCCCTGCAAATGTTGCTCTCACTGCTTTCTGTACATATGCTACCAGTCAGCCCTTTCGAATAGGTGCACCCCGCTCTTGCCTCACCACAAGTCTCCAGCGAGACGTCCGCCTCACACCTATCTGCATTTTTAAGCCCAGCTGCCTTCGTGATCTCGGCACCTATGCCCGCGACAGAAAACAATGGAGTAACATCTGCTCAGCCATTTAGTCTAGTACTGCTCTTCTTAAATTTGACCTTTATTACAAGACTCTTCTTTTCTTCTTCATTTCGTTCTCCCACTCTCACACACACATGCTCACAGTTAATTCTGCCGTCGTGAGTCCCATTCGGGACGGATACGAGAATAATAATAATAATAATAATAATGATGAGTGTGGTCGCACACTGACTCTGTACAGACTGTCAGCGTACATCTGGTACATCATGTACATGCCATCCAGCCTGATCCAGGCATGTAAAATTGTTACTTTGCACTTCCACAGCCAAGCGCTAGCCTTTTCAGAAGCACATGTACGGATTTGTGCCGTCAGTTGCGCTGAAAAGTGAAAGTACAGGACTTCTGCATAGGGAAGTAATGATCTCCGACATTTTGGCTGCTTTTCGGACGTTTCCCTTTTCGGACCGGTTTTCGGAAGAGCCTTCAAAAATCGGACACTGTCCGAAAAATCGGACGGTTTGGCAGCACTGCATATGCCTACTGAAGTATGAAATATCACAGGGAAGGCTTGTCTGCACGTAACAAATATTAGCTAATGGACACTGATTGCCGAGACTCTGTAATCGTTGCTGGGCACAAATGATGGCAACTTCACAAAAAGAGCCAACTGACAGCCCTACGTAAAGCAACACCGGTATGTATGTTGCAATGTGCATAAGCAACACTAATTCTGTGGACTGTGCACCAAAGAAGCTCATCGAGCGGAAAGGTTCGTCAATTCGTAGCAACAGATCACACAAAACATACTGAAGGACGACAATGTCAGATGTGCAACAATCATATTCCCCTAGTGCCAACGACTCACAGCGCAAGATTTTGGCACACGAAACTTCCAGCTGCCACCTTCTGGAACATCCTCCCTGCAGTAAGGACAATCACAATTGAAAACAGCATATAGAAAAACACCATACAAGGGAAGAGTGACTGGACCGCTCCACAAGGAAACAGAATAGGGTATTATAAACTAATTCAAAGTCTTCACTGAACCAACAGAGCGACAACCGACAGGCATACAGAGAGAGAGAGAGAGAGAGAGAGAGAGAGAGAGAGAGAGAGAGAGAGAGAGAGAGAGAGAGAGAGAGAGAGAGAGAGAGAGAGAGAGAGAGAGAGAGAGAAAGAGAGAGAGAGAGAGAGAGAGAGAGAGAGAGAGAGAGAGAGAAAGAGAGGGAGAGACAGAGAGAGACAGAGAGAGACAGAGAGAGCGAGAGCGAGAGAGAGAGGGAGAGAGAAAGAGAGAACTTACCACATTGGCTTACGCGTTCCACGCATTAAATGATAACCACATCGCATTTGGATTTGGCCTGGAGATGGAATATTGTTGTAAATTCCCCAGAAGCTCTGCAGGTAAATACAAGGAAGTAGGAGGAAGATGTCAAAGGCAAAATCCTACAGAGGAACAATAAGAGTGTAAACTGCATAGCCACACAGCCTAGACTCAGGCCTGCATTGTCATTACAATATTATATTACTTTGAAGTAGTAATGAGTACATAACACAATGCCAAGGTTGGCAAAGCACACCAGCCCTCAAAACTGCAAGCAAAATCAGCTCACAGCAGACAGCAACGGAGTCTGAGGAACTGCAACACTGAACTGGGACTCAATTGGTGCTGGTCATGCACTGGTAGCAACTCATGCCGTCATGGAACACACAGTGTGACAGTGTTAGAGTTGACACTGCATGCAATGCCGCACACACTGCATGTACGTGCAACACAGGTGCATGCAACCGGGGTGTGAGTTCACACTCATAAGCCATCCTGTGCGTACAGCCAAGCACAAAATTCATTTTTTCTTGTAACTTCTCGCACAAGAGGCATGACATCGTGCTGCCGCCTATCGCGCAAGACCTTAGCGCTAAAACAGATGTTGCTGACTGCTGATCACTTACAACAGTTGTACTACATGTACCAATTGAGAGGTAAGTACACACTATACACTACCATGCTACAGCAGTGCAGGACACATCACTCCTCACACTATACACTACCATGCTACAGCAGTGCAGGACACATCATTCCTCACACTATACACTGCCATGCTACAGCAGCGCAGGACACATCATTCCTCACACTATACACTACCATGCTACAGCAGTGCAGGACACATCATTCCTCACACTATACACTGCCATGCTACAGCAGCGCAGGACACAACAGTTACATTAGGCACGTCGGTTTGCAGTCTCATAATGATGTCAGAGCCATCGCTATAACCCCGCGCAATGGGCATATGACAAAACAGCACATTATCTATACCAGCTCACCACACATACTGTAGAGCGGAGTGTAGCAGGTGCTAACCTTCACGTACGGGTACAGTGCAAACACATGACCATGCCTATGGACAGTCATACTTCTAAATTGCACTTGCCCACACCCACCATTGCCACCGCCGCCACCACGCACGCACACACACACACACACACAAAGAAGAGTTTGTAATACCGACCTCAACGCAGTGAACGGTGTAGATTTTCTTCAGGTTAGCAACGTAGTCGGCCGGGGTCGTGCCATACACCGTCCTAAACAGTCATCACACACGTAAAGACACAGATGCGCACGCACGCATGTACAGACACAGACACACAAGCAAAACAGTACATACAGGTACATGCTCACTGCCGGAAACTATTTGATCACCTGGGGTTTTCCCAAAATTGGGGAGGAGGAGGAGAGAGAGAGAGAGAACTCAAGCAAGCCCTGGAGAGATAAATCATTGGAGGCACCTGCTCGACAGTAACACCCCTCTGTAGTGCGGACGAAGGACTGATTTCCCGTATAAATACGGAAAAATGCGGAAGGTTGACAGCACTGCAAATGGAAGGCTAGGTTCCAAGAAACCACTTTCTTGTGATTGTGACTGTCCCCAGTTGCCCCAGCAGAATTCAGCTACAAAATACGAGTACGTGTTTTACTGGTGAATGGATACGTTTCCACAATCTTTTTTCGTCAGATTAAATTGTATTCAGCATGATCTTTGTTCAGAAGCTTTATTTCCAAAGAGGGGCCTGACCCGCGCCCGGCGCCCAGGAATTTGGATAGCCATTCATTTTTTTAATTTGTGGGAAAATAGACCAGATTGTGTTTGGATGTTTGGCGGTGTGACAGAGTGGTGTAGACCTTCACAATGTTGACAATTCTAGTTTGAGAGCAGTGGCCACTGGGGAGGGAAACAAGACCACGAACAACGAAGGGGGGCATTCCCCAACTCGTGAAGACATGGAGCTACATTTACCTGTCGAAGTAAAACGTCCAGGCCGTATTCAGCTGGTGACCAGATTTATCAAGCACGTCGATGTCAAGCACTTGGGACAAATTGGGAGAGGCTGGTGGTGTCCCAGTCATGTGGGTGGCTGGTGATACGGAATACCCTGCTCCTAGTTCACTTGCCTGAGCACCTGACGAGCGCCGGGGAATTTCCATAGGAGAAGAAGACATGATGGAACACGGTCTTCTGGCGCAAATAAAAACTGTGAAAAACTGCTTGGAAATAAGCTCTTGGAGCCAATAAAGTCAGGAACAGGGAAGTGCAAACCCCACAAAGGCTCTTCTTGGGCACCAGGGGGTGGAGTATCACTGCCGAGCTGCTTGACTGGTCTATGTGCCTTGGTTGTCAGCGAACATCAAGATAAATCAGCCACTCTGGCCAGGTGCTGTCTCACCACCCGCTTCACTTCAGGGCTAAATCAGAAAATCAGTTCAGACCAGACAACCATTCGTTTCCCTCGAAAGTGAAAAAAGTGAATCCGATTCAGAAAGACTTGACATCTCATTGAGCCTCGATGACGTCACCTCGTCACAGTTTGTGTACTTGGAATCAAAAGTAAGTTTTTTTTAGGATTTGAAATGAAAGAAGCAAACGCCGCTGTGGTAGATCTAGTTCTAGACACCCTCTTGATCTCCTTTGAGGATACCTTTCATTTTGATCATTCTTGAAAGTAGTTATAATCTGGAGTGTTATTGACTTATTGTTGGAGTCTTCTAGTAGCAACTTCAATATGAGTCGCGTTCAACCCAAGCACTGGTTTGTCCTTGGGGCGTCTGTAACGTTTGCAGCATCATGCATTACTTTTGTCGTTTTGACTCAGAAGCAAGAACATTCGGTAAGTGAGAAGCCAAGTCGCTGTTGCGTGGTGAAGTCTTTCAGTTTACAACTAAATAATTACTCCTTCAAATTCATTATCATACTACGCCACGCTACTCTCCCGTCTTGGAAACTTGTTTCTTTGCCTGAAACATCAATGAAACCACTTCAACTCAATGCTTTAATTAATTATGATCATTTTCTACATGACCCACTTCAACTGAGTCTCTTCATCCGTGGTGTAACTATACAGTAATGATACGTACATGTGGTGCGTTGAAGTCCCAATCTTAGCCTCTTTGAAGGAACTCCTACTTGTTTCAATCAGAGTCTTTATTCACTTTTTTTTTCGACCTGGCCAGAGGCATATCTGGATACAGTCGTCCCTCTGTAATCCAGCACTGTATAGTTGTAAACCAGCATAACTTTCAGTAACCAAAATGTCCTCTCCATGCACATTGCAGCAGTAGATCAGATTTGTTAATCCAGCATAATTTCCTTAGCACAAATACACTGTGGAATTGTGTGTTGCTCCCTACACACTAAAATAGTAATAATGATAATAGTGCCGGATTATAAAGGGACCACTGTAAAAAAGAAGAAAAAAAGGGAGCACTGTACATGTATGTGATTAGTACTGATCACTGTGATTACCCTTGTAATCTTATACTAGTCACCCAGTTTCCGTCCTGGGACTATCAGGGCGGTGGGCAGACCACTGACGGATGCAGTGCATGTTCGCGGGTGAGGCGTAGCGTCCAGGGAGACAACACCAGACTTTAGTGCCCGGAATGATGTGCGCTTCGACCCCTGATCTGGAAGGTCTATGCTGTATTATCTCACAAGCGCAGTCTCTATTATAACTTCTACTAAGTGCACTCCAAGAGCGCTTCAAAGATATACAGGCACCGTCTCCAATATAAGCGCGGCGCTTATGGTAATGGAGAATTGTATGGATCATGTGCATGCATGTTTGACGTCACACAGTGTCATGTGCATACATGCTGTGGCGCAAGTCCGTGATCTTCGATATAAAACATATCGACCCAGTGTGCTAGGAAGTACGAAAACTGCAGTCAATCATGCTGACACAGACCACCAACATTTGTACACTGAACTGTATTCACACTGAACTGTATCCACACTGATTTCCAACTGTATTCACACTGATTTCCTCAAAGGCGTATGTGATTACATGTTCGTGTGTGTGTGTGTGTGTGTGTGTGTGTGCGCGCGCGCGCTGTGTAATACTGCAGGTGATGATGAACGGTGTGATACGCGATATAGAGCGTCAAGAGAAGAAACGGCTTGAGCAGCTCTCCAAGCAGCGAGAGATTGAAGCGATGATGCGGGGAAATCGAGAAGAGAAGGAAACATAGTGCTGCGCGCCAACGCCAGTACAACTAGCAGTGTACTTGATTCGGCAGTGATTGCAGTAGCGGGACGTCGCTTGGATGTTCGCATGCTATCACATCCTGGTCCTGGTATGTGTATAGCAGCATGATATGGTACGACCTAGCACGTTACTGCTATGTAGAGTGACTAGTGACCGTGTCCTTGCTGCCTGCTGGGTGATGATGGTGGCGGCTCTCAGTCATGGAGAGTTTGCTACTTCCCATGGTATTGTATGGTACCTGCTGGACGATGGCAGCTGAGCCAGTAGAATACGAATGTTCCGTGTTCTGGCAACACAAGTTGCCTAAGGTCTGCGGATGGCAGCTCAGCCAGTAGAATACGAATGTTCCGTGTTCTGGCAACGCAAGTTGCCTAAGGTCTGCGGGCAATGTGGATTGTTGCAATGAGTTAGGTGCTATCCAGCGCAGCTTGTGCACCTGCCGTTGGACATGTCAGCTGATCACACACCTGTGAATAGGTGGAGAGGAGCAGCAGTTAAGCGCAATGATGATCCAGCTGTCGTTGGCATCCCGGCAGGTTGGGTTACTTGGTTGATTCAACTCGCGGGTCACGCTCGTTGAGCGCATACTTTGCTCTCCTCACTGTAAGCCATCCTTCCTGGGCTTGAACACATTGTGTGTAGTGTGTGTAGTGTGTGCAGTGTGTGTAGTGTGTGTGGCGTAACAAACTCATAACATTGTAAGCAGTGCAAAGCTTACCACCTGATTTACACTGTAAATTGATCAAGCTGGTCTTGATCACCCAGCCACTTTTCTTCTTTTTTCTTCTTCTTCTTCGAACGTTCATGCGTGCCTATCGGGTGTGAATCTATGAAACTATACCAGTTCATGGTCCAATGATGTGGATGTATGTATAGAGGCATGGCAGAATGGTGTGGAGTTGAATCATCTTGGATTACTACATGTGTGCATGTTAGAAACACCAGGCAGTCCTCAGCTTGCCTTTCACGGCGACCGGGCGCGGTATCAATGTTTGCCAAGTGCGAGCCCTCATCTATCATGAGCAAACAGAGGCTGTGAATAGAACTGATTTGCATGTACAGGTGGAATCCTGAAAATTCAAAACCAAAATGCCAGGAGAAACTTCTTAAACTCGGATGGAGAGCCAAGGATTAAAATTTAAAAAAGTTGGAAGGCTGCTGG